TCGAAACTACCAGCTGTTCCGCAGGAGAAAGATGAGGCTTTCTGCTCCCGTAAAGATTTACAGCCTCGGAAACCCTGTACAGGGTTGCTATGAGTTGGAACCAACTCCACAGCGCATAACAACAACAACAGTGGCTAAGCAGAGAGATCACATAGAACTTCAGGGAATGCTCATGATTAGGCTTGGATGTGTATACATGGCCGTCACTAGCCTTCCTTTTCCAGAGCCCAGTCTCTAGTCCTTATCTAACTCTGAGGGAAGCTAGACTTGTGTTTCCCTGTGCCCAGGAAGGGGTAGCAGTTGGGTGTCCAGCTTTTACCCACATGGTTTAAACAATAGATATCTGTGCTTGGCCAGAAAGAGTCCATGCTTTAGGAAAATAGTTTGGGAAGAGGTGTCCACTTTTAGGGAACACAGGCTGAATCTTGAGCCTGAGTCACACAGCTAGACTTAGCCCTGAACACAGTGCCCGGCTGGCATACTCTGAATAAACCATTTACCCACACACAGCACACACAGCAGGTCCAAGGACAGGGCATACACACATGTGTGCATACACATGCATGTATAAGCATGCGTGCACACATGTGCGTAAACATGAACACATGCAGTCTCCCAAAGACTCAGTGATGGGGCCCAGCCAGGACCCTCACTCATCTCTAGCCCTTATAGTTCACACAATAAGAGAAAAAATTCTCCTCTATCTCTAAACAAGGGGAGCCAGCCCCAGACCTTGTTCATTCTGGGCAGGCAGTTCTGCACACTGATGACAAGATCCCATCCCTAGGGACACCAGCCCCCAGAGGAGTCTGACATGAGGTCATGGGCCTCAGAGCCCTGTGCCTCTAGGTTGAGTCAAAGAAGAGAGAAAAAGGGGAGGGGCATTGTGAAGGAGCTCTGGGGTTCACATGGGATCAGGAGAAATTAATTTAACCTGTGTATAGTCACGCTCTCTGTACACCTCAGCTGGGGCCATCCATGGCAGGGAAGTGGTAGGGTAGAGGGGACAGGAGACGATGACCTGGTCACTATTCCCAGGATACTGACCAACTAGGGATGTAAGAGATCATCTAAAACAATTCCTTTTACATCGGCCCCTGGAGTCCTATTCTCCATCCTCCCATTGCCACCAATTTTAGCTGTTCACATGGTACCCAGCTAGAATCATTTCCCATCCTCATTGCTGCTAGATGTGGCCAACTGATGAATTCAGACTAGCAGGACTGAGAAGCAGTGATGGGGCAGCTCCCAGGCCATCTTCTTAATGACAAAGCCACTTGCCCCTTTTACTGAAGACAACTGCAACAGCTGCCTTGGGCTCAGAAACGGAAGCGCTGTCAAGGACAGCACATATACCCAGTAGTTACAAGCGTAGCTGTTGTAACAAACAGTCACTGGGATATGATGCCTTGGATAGGACAGAAGTCTATTTCTCTCTCACATAACAGTTCAGAGGCAAGGTGGTCCCAGAGGACACAAGGAGGGGATCCATGAGGTGCTCCAGGGGAACTGGTTGATGGAGAGGTGTATGTGCTGTCCCTGATAGGGCTTCCATTTCTGAGCCCAAGGCAGCTGTATCAGTTATTGTCAATGAAGGGAGCAAGTGGCTTTGCCATTAAGAACATGGCCTGGGAGCTACCCTAGTGCAGTTGAAGATCCACATATAATTTCTGACTCCCTGAAAACTTAACTACTATAAGTGTACTGTTGATCAGAAGCCTTATAAGCAGTCTACAAGCACCTATTTTGTATGTTAGATGTATTATGTACTGCATATTTTTACAGTCAAGTAAGCTGGAGAAAGGAAAATGTTATTAAGAAGATGCTAAGACAGAAAAAACACATTCCCACACTGTTCTGTAAGTTAGTGTCGTCTGTTTACATCATGAATCATCTTTATATTGAGCAGCTGAGGAGGAAGAGGAAATGAGGATTTGGTTTTGCTGTGTCAGGGGTGGCAGAAGCAGAAAAGGTGGACATAAGAGAGGCAGGCACATCACAATTTCTATCTGACTTTTTTGCTTTTACATTTCTCTAAAATTGCTTCTATATGGTATCAATCCTTCTTCCACCATTTGCTTTAGGTTCAATGCTCATATCAGAAGGGTCCATGTTGTAAGTCAAGAGCAGTTTTGAATACTTGGAGTCTTTTTGCCAGATTGTCTAATGTCATTTTGTTTTCAGGCACTGCTTCTTCTTCCTCACCATCATCTGGCACTGGTTCAGAAGAATGTATCACCATCAAACTGTCATCGGTTAATTCCTCTGGTGTGGTACCTATTAGCCTTTGAATTTCTCCAGGAGCTTCATCTTGAAACCGTTCACACACATACACACACATTTTTTTTTAAAGCCAAATTCACAATCTCTTCCATGATTTCCTTATGAAAAAATCCTGTCATAAAAATCCTGTGAAGTTATGTACAACATCTGGACACAGCTTTCTCCAGCACAAATTTATTGTTTCAGGGTTAACAACTTTCACAGTGTTCTCTATAAATATGGCACCTTCAGTGCTATAATCCTTCTAGATTTTCAGGTTGTTCTCTCTGTGGGGATTCTCTTTCACAGCGCTGACAATTTTTCCTAGAGTATAGTGTGTTCTGAGTCCTAAGAGTCCGTATGACCACCTGTAATAATTAAGGCTTTGCATCAACTTGGCTGGGCCAAG